AGGATACAGAACTAGAGAGCTTGCAAAGCGAGGGAGCGGCGAATTCGTCCGACGAACACAAGGATCCAGGAGCTCGTTCTGTATTCTGTGAGAGCCGTGCGTTGCAGCAAAATGCTTGTTTGCGGCAAAAAGAAAGGCTGCCAGAGTTGTCGGCGTTCACAGCAAGTTCCCCCAGTGAATACCCATCCTCGGAATTCTGCAAACCCCAAGCGGATGGAAGTTCCACGTTTTGAACGGTTTGTTATGGTGCCCCTTGTTCAAGTACGGTAATGCAAGATTGAGTGTTGTCTCACTGTTTTGAAACGCACCAAAATTCATCACAAAGGATCGATCAGGTTGGTTCATTTCAGCAACCCAATTCCAGTGGCAGGGAAATCGATGTGGAAGCACTGTCCACGTGCAAGCGTGCCAATGGCTTCCTTGATCGCCTCTTGTACAACTCCCGTGACGCAGAAGTATTTCCCCAAGGGCCTTGGAGCGGACAACAACCCCCATTGACGATCGTTGATTAAAATGATTGAAGAAACACTTGAATAGCACGCTACTTCATTTCTAATATAAATAAGGCCCAGAATCCAGCGTACTACTAATGCAAGATTGATTCATGAAACTGGTTACACCTTATATGAGAGTGATTATTGCCTATTACGTTCGCTTCATGCATTCTTTGTATACGGAATCTTATTGACTCGATTGAATTTCCAGTTTTTTCTTTTTTTTTCTGTTAGCGTACAGAAAGGGGAAACCTGCAAGTACATGAGGAGGATGCCATGGGAAGTCAGCCACCCTCACAGATCCAGTCACAAACACCCTCACCAAGACCTCCTGGCACACCAGAACCAGGGGTGTAAGTATGGTAAGCTTGAGGCACAGGGAGACTGCTGCGCCGTGTGAGACGTTTCACACCGGTCATGCGAGAATCACGAGGCCCAGGTAGACTGCTGCGCCGGCTAGAAACAGCGATATGACGCCCCTGCAGGACATATGCACGAGGAGGGAAAGAGAAAGAAAGGAATGCAACTGGTTACAAAAGGAGCTGGACTACAAACAAATAACACATATATAGGTGGCTCACTCAAATTCACTTCGGATTGCAAGTCCTTACCAAACAAAGAACACATCGCGTGACCTCCTTCCACGCAACTCTCAGCTATCCCTCCTTATCACGTGAGATACCATCCCCACAGTATCACAATGTTTAAAGCGCTTACAAAACCAGCTCTTGCTAGTCTCTCCTTGCCACCTGGAATAATATTTCCACAGTATCACACCCATGTCACACTACTACACTTGTGCTCATCATCTCACCCCTCACATGCCCCTCACACCTCATCTCTCCCCTCCCCCCACACACCCTCAGCAACTCCCTTCTCAGGAGGCGCCCATGAAAGGCCATAGGTGGCACAGACGCCAGCACTCACACCCACCACACTAGCACAAGTGCATCACTTGAAATGGCCCGGATCTGAGTCGACTCAAAAGTCCCCCCCCCCCCCCCACCCACACACACACCCTCACCAACTCATTCCTCAGGAGGAGTCCATAAAAGGCCATAGGTGGCACAGACGCCAGCACCCACACCTACCACACAAGCACGAGTGCATCTCATGATATGGGTGCTCACCAGATGACTCCCCAGCACAGCACACCCCATTCAAGTAACTTGTGAGCTGAGTAGAGAGATTACCTTCAAGGTGCCTCAAAATACTCCTTGGCACTTACCTGGCAGGCAGATGACAGGCTGTTGAAACGGCTACTTTCGAGGCGGCTCAGGAATAACCTTTGAGGAGGCAAAAAGGCACCTGAAGAAATGGCATGCTGCTCACCAGATGACCCCCAGCACATGCTGTTGATGCGACTGCTTTTAAGACGCCTAAGTAATGACCTGGAGCTCACCAGATGCTGTCCTAGCATACGCTGTTGAAGAGGCAGGGGCACGTCTTGGCAAACCCCTTGGCATCACTCCTACTACCGACACAGCCATCAACCCTTGATACTTGCAAGACCTGGCGCTCACCCGATAACTCCCCAGCGCACGCAATAAAAGAGACTTTTTGCGTGCAGTGCAGTGCAGTGCACTCAGACTTATGACTTTTACAGCACAAGCGCATCAGACCACTCAGTATGACATGGCCAGGCGTGCCACAGTCGCCGGCACTCATCACTCGCAACGAACTGGCGCTCACCAGATGACCCCCCAGCACACACCGCTGAAGGGGCAGGGGCACGTCTTGGCACACACCTTGACAAACACCTTGGCATCACCCTACCGCACAAGCGCACGACTCGATATGACCTGGCACGGTGTGGCGCGGCCATCAGCACTCATCACTCAAAACGAACTGGCGCTCACCAGATGATCCGCCAGCACACGCCATTGACAGGACACGGGCACATCTTGGCAAACACCTTGACATCATCGCCCTACCGCACAAGCACACCACTCAGTATGACCTGGCATGGCGTGCCACAGTCGTCAGCACTCCCACGCCATGCACATGCCAGTGCATGGGGTGCCACAGTCATCAGCACTCATCACTCGCAACCAACTGGCGCTCACCAGATGACCCCCCAGCACACTCCGTTAAAGGGGCACGGGCACGTCTTGGCAAAGACCTCGGCATCGCTGGAGTTGACTCTCCGGGAGATGAGATCGTCATAGATGTCTGGTGTATATTGAGGTGTGGGGGGGAGAGAAGAGGCGGGAGGGGGGGGGTGGCGGGTAAAAAAGGGCATGGGCAAACAAGAGAAGGGGCAGGGAATGGACAGCTCAGCGTCACTGGAGTTGAATCGCCGTGAGATGAGATCGTCGTAGATGTCTGATGCATGGGGGGGCGAAGGGGAGCAGGTGAAAGGGGGTTGAGACAAGGGAAACTGCAGGGAGCGGGCCAGTGGGCAGGGGCAAGGGAAGGGCCGTGCGTGGAAGGCAGAGGCACGTCTTGGCAAAGACCTCGGCATCGCTGGAGTTGACTCTCCGGGAGATGAGATCGTCGTATGCGGCTGATGCATTGGGGAGGGCAAGGGGGAAAAGGTAGTGGAGAGTGGGGCAAGGTGGGGAAGGGGTAACAAACTTAGCATCACTGGAGTTGACTCTCCGCGAGATGAGATCAGCGTATATGTCTGATGCATGGGGGGACAGGGGTAAAAGCGGGGGGGGGGGGGGGGGGGCAGGGGAATTGACACTTCGGCATCGCTGGAGTTGACTCTCCGGGAGATGAGATCGTCGTGGATGTCTGATGCATGGGGGGGAGCGGGGGGGTTAACTAATGGGCATAGGTAAACAGGGGAAGGGACAGGGGAATGGACACCTCGGCATCACTGGAGTTGACTCGCCGTGAGATGAGATCGTCATAATGTCTGATGCTTGGGGGGGTGAGGGGGGAGAGGTGGGGGGTGTGGGTGGAATAAGGAGAGGAGTGAGAGAGGAGAAGGGGGCGAGGGGGAGGGGGGAGGACGGAGCGAGGGGGATTGGAACGGGCATAGGTAGACAGGGAACGGGGCAGGGGAATGGACAAAACTGGGCATCGCCGGGTGATGATATCATCGTAGATCTCTGATGCATGGGGGTGCAATGAGGGGAGGTGGGTGGTGGGAGGTAAAACACGAGGGAATGCGGTGAGAAGGGGGTTTTGAGACGTCTCACAACACTTCTTTTATCAAGGGGAAGGGGAGGGGGTGTTGCTTGAACGGGGGAAGGGGAAGCATAGGGGGTGTTGTTTGAACGGGGGTTTTGAGCGGCCTTAGACAGAGACCGGAGGGAAGAAACAGGGAAATGGGTGGAGGAAAGGACAGGAGGAGGAACTATAAGACGCACCAGGGATTATCTTAGGAATTGAGTCAACTTAAAAGGTTTGATGCTGAATGGGGCTTGGGAGGAAAGTGCAGAGGGCTCGGATGAAATCAAGGGATGGAGGAGAGACTGGTCATTGGCAAGAAAACTATGTGCAGACGTTTGGGCTGAAATGACGTACCATAAATAGAAAAGAGGCAGTTCATGATGCCTGCGCAGCCAAGCAACGAACAAGGGAGTGTCGCGCAGGAGGAGGGGGGTTTGGGTAAATATAGCCATCAGTAAAACTAAATATCACAAATAAGATGAGAAATTTGAGAGAGCAACAGGCATCACGATGCATATTGGAGAAAGGAGAGCATGGAGAGGGAAAGAGAGAGCAGTTAGCAGCCTGTATGGTGTAGAGGAAGGGTGTACCGATAAATAGGATGGCGAGGTTGAGGGGGTGAACCGATTGGGTAATGCCATATTCGAGGAAGAAGAAGAGGCCAAAGAGGAGCAGGAAGCCCACACACAGGAACCGTAGCGTGTTCTGTGGGACAAATGGAGTGGAGAGAGGGCGTTTCGTATGAGTTGACTCAAGAGTCGCCTCGCGAGGAAAGGTGGTAGCAACGAGAGTCATTTTCGTGTTCTGTGCTCCACTGGTTGACGGCAGCAGGGGGGGCGATGCTGCTTGCCTTGCACAGCACGGCTTGCGGTCTTGGCCAGTTAAAGGGTCGCGTGGAGGAGAGTGATGCAACGCAGATAAGGAGGGTGAGCAAGAGTTTGCTGCCAGTGATGCAAGCGCAATCTACAAACACATGAGAAGCAGACCATTGGTGCTTCTTACGCACTTCTGAGAAAGCGGGTGACGAAAAGAGTGATGCACGGCACGGAATGCACGGCACGGCATGCACGGCCTTGTAAGTGCAGAACAGTTATGTCAGTGTGGTATGGTATGGGTATTGGGCTGAAAGCTGCTTGCTACTCTCATGTTCTGGCGAGGAAGAGGGTGACGCAGAGGAGATGCACGGCGACACGACATCCATCCAGAGAAGTGCAGAACTGTTTTGCAGCTCACGCTCTTAGCGAGGAACTTAGATGGAATTGACGCTAGGAAGGCTCACGTTCTTGGCGAGGAAAAGGGTGATGCAGAGGAGATGCGCGGCGACACGACATCCATCCAGAGAAGTGCAGAACTGTTTTGCAGCTCACGCTCTTAGCGAGGAACTTAGATGGAATTGACGCTAGGAAGGCTCACGTTCTTGGCGAGGAAAAGGGTGATGCAGAGGGTGATGCAGAGGGTGATGCAGAGGGTGATGCAGAGGGTGACAGCGATGACAGGAGTGGTGGAGACCCTCAAATACGTGCACACACACACACACACACACGCACGCACGCACGCACGCACGCACGCACGCACACACACACACACACACACACACACACACACACACACACAAGTTTCGTCGCTCACGTTCTTGGCGAGGAAGAGCGTGATGAAAAGGGTGATGCAGAGAATGACAGCGATGACGAGGGTGGTCCACTTGTTGGTCGCGCACAGCACCAGCACCATGCCCCAGAAGGACGACCCCAAGTCTGGTTGGTTGGTGTGGGGAGAGGGGATGCATGCATGTGTGTGCATTGACTGGCGCACAGCACCAGCACCATGCCCCAGAAGGATGAGCCCAAGTCTGGTTGGTTGGTGTGGGGAGAGGGGATGCATGCATGTGTGTGCATTGACTGGCGCACAGCACCAGCACCATGCCCCAGAAGGATGAGCCCAGGTCTGATTGGTGTGGGTGGGTTGATGCAGGTGCATGTTGTATGGCATGCCATGACAGTGATGTGAGACACATGCTGTATGTATGGCATGCCGTGACAGTGATGTGAGACACATGCTGTATGTATGGCATGCCGTGACAGTGATGTGAGACACATGCTGTATGTATGGCATGCCGTGACAGTGATGTGAGACACATTATGTATGACATGCCGTGACAGCGATGTGAGACACATGCTGTATGTATGGGATGCCGTGACAGTGATGTGAGACACATGCTGTATGTATGGCATGCCGTGACAGTGATGTGAGACAAATGCTGTATGTATGGCATGCCGTGACAGTGATGTGAGACACATGCTGTATGTATGGCATGCCGTGAGACTAATGTGAGACACATGCTGTATGTCTGGCATGCTGTGACAGTGATGTGAGACATGTATGGCATGCCGTGAGAGTGATGTGAGACACATGCTGTATGTATGGCATGCCGTGAGAGTGATGTGAGACACATGCTGTATGTATGGCATGCCGTGAGTCACAAGGGTACTAACGGACAAGAACGACTTGATGGGCAACAGTAGCTTGCTTGATTGAAGTGCAGACTGAGAAGGTTTGATCACTGACAAGCTTGTATTTTCGGGAACCAGCACCCTGATTAGTGACCCATGACTCACATCCATCCAGCAGGCAGAAGTGACTTTTGAGTCGACTCAAAGTTACCAGCACCCTGAAGAATTACTTTGACTCACATCCGGCTGGCAGAATGCACCACTGCCATCCGCCCCGAGTGCGAGTGACTCCCCCCTCGTCCATGTGCACCTCTATGCCCTCCACCTGCACCATGGGGCGGGCGTTCATCAAGTATGTGTGATGAAGCGTGATTTGTTATGCATTATAACGCATTTGCCTCACGAGACGCTCGTCCGTCCATGCACACCTTGATGCCTGCACCATGGAGCATTCGAACGTACAGTATGATACAGCATGATACAGTAAGATACAGCATGCATGATTGCATGCAGCAAAATAGAGTGGGTGATCTGTTGAGGCATTGTAAGACCCTTGCCCCTGTAACGCTCGTCCATGTGCACCTCTATGCCTTCCACCTGCACCATAGGGCGATCGCACACAAACAGCATGCTATAGTGTGATTCGTTATGTCATTTAAAGGATTTGACTCTGAAGCCTCGCCCACATGCCTCTCTATGCCCTCCATCCGCAGCATAGGGCGTTCGCACATGCATGATACGGCATGAATCTCTTCACATAGTAACGAGTCTGCCTCTAAAGGGTCGTTGGTGAACACGTCGATGCCCTCCACTTGTGTCATCGAGAAAATTCAGCATGACCCAATGTGCTTTTTATATGGTAAGGCACTGCCGCCTCTTATAAATGCATGCTTACCAGATGGCATAACAGCATACCACAGCATTTGTATCTGAATGCGACACTCACAGCCCACTCTCGGGCAGCTTGATACACTGTTTTGAGGCGTCTCAAAACATTTATATCTGTATGCAATACTCACAGCCCACTTTAGAGCAGCTTGACACCCTGCACGTGGACAAGGGAATGCTGACCTGCCTCACCTTGGGACTGTAAAAAAGGAATGTTCACCCGGTCCAAGACGCGCACCTTCCCTCAACAAAGGCATGGCCTTCGATGAGAGATCCGTACAGTGAACTCTGTGTACATCTCCCTAAAGATGTCACTGCACACACCTCCGCACCCACCTTCCCTCCCATCATCACGCAACTTCCCTCCCAACATCACGCTCCTTGCCTCCCGTCATGACGCATGCGGAGGCATGTCCTATCTCGTGCGTTTGCACTCAGCTCACTGCGCTGCTCTCTAGACTTGAAACACACACGCACCTTGCCGCCCGTCATGACACATGCGGAGGCATGGCCTATCTCGTGCAGGTACACGGAGATGAGCTTGAAGGGCATCAGCACGATGGTGCGCCATAGCTGGTGGGGAGATACAGGGCAGGCAGGGGGGTGGTGGAGAGCAGTTTGGGATGTGCGACCAGTCAGTGCAGGAGGGAGGGTAGCATTGAGTCTCCCATCTCATGCAGGTACACGGCGATTAGCTTGAATGGCATCAGCACGATGGTGCGCCATAGCTGGTGGGGAGATACAGGGCAGGCAGGGGGGTGGTGGAGAGCAGTTTGGGATGTGCGACCAGTCAGTGCAGGAGGGAGGGTAGCATTGAGTCTCCCATCTCATGCAGGTACACGGCGATTAGCTTGAATGGCATCAGCACGATGGTGCGCCATAGCTGGTGGGGAGATACAGGGCAGGCAGGGGGGTGGTGGAGAGCAGTTTGGGATGTGCGACCAGTCAGTGCAGGAGGGAGGGTAGCATTGAGTCTCCCATCTCATGCAGGTACACGGCGATTAGCTTGAATGGCATCAGCACGATGGTGCGCCATAGCTGGTGGGGAGATACAGGGCAGGCAGGGGGGTGGTGGAGAGCAGTTTGGGATGTGCGACCAGTCAGTGCAGGAGGGAGGGTAGCATTGAGTCTCCCATCTCATGCAGGTACACGGCGATTAGCTTGAATGGCATCAGCACGATGGTGCGCCATAGCTGGTGGGGAGATACAGGGCAGGCAGGGGGGTGGTGGAGAGCAGTTTGGGATGTGCGACCAGTCAGTGCAGGAGGGAGGGTAGCATTGAGTCTCCCATCTCATGCAGGTACACGGCGATTAGCTTGAATGGCATCAGCACGATGGTGCGCCATAGCTGGTGGGGAGATACAGGGCAGGCAGGGGGGTGGTGGAGAGCAGTTGTTGCATTGTTTGGAGTAGATTCACAAAACAGTAAAGGGTGTGCTTACAACGAGGATGATGAGCGCGTAAACACCGGAGCAGGAGAGGAAGAGCGTCTGCTGAGTGTTACAGCAACCAGCGAGCGCCCAATTCGCCATTTCAACGACTGATTACGATCAGTAGGACTGATTGAATGAATCCTTGATGATACGTCAATGTCGAATAACTTAATTTCCTAAGCCGCTTAATGCTTGACGCTCGGCGCTAAACGCTCGACGCTAGAAGCTTTACGCTCGACGCAATGCGATCCCCGACGATCGATCCTCGACGCGAATAGCGTTATTTGAGCTCGTAGCGCCGTTCCGTCGTGTTTGCCGATAATTACTCGGGCCAATACGATCTCTACTGACTTGATTGGGCACGCTGCTGACCTATGAAGCGGGACGGCTACGACCACAGCCTGTGATGCACAAACGTAATAGCGATGTGTTCAGACGAAGGAGGCTGGGAGAGTGGAAACGCGAATGGGTGTGGTAATGCTACCAGCGGATTCTCGCGAAAAACGAGTTCCTGAAAACTACGCCAGTTTCAATGCTGAAAGGCGAATTCGATGACTTCCGTACATCTGTGAAATGGAAGGGAAGTCAGGGTGAGATCTCGAGGGTGGTTCAGATCTTGCTATCACCGACCCGTTCAGCCGTTCAATTTTACACGTCGATCTACTTGGACCGATTAGAACCGTAGTGAAACACACGCCGATGAAACCTAGTGATGTGCATCTGCATACAGTAATTCAAAGAGTTCTGCTGACTAGCGCTGGCCATTATTGGTGTACAGATGTGTTTCTGACAGTGGTTCCTGGAAGCGGTTGTCAGCATCCCCGCCAACAGCCGTCCTTAGGAATGGGCAAAATTGCGCGACCAATCGTACGCCTGGCTCAAATGTGTTGACCAATTCGATCATTGTACACTAGAAACACAGAAAATGACTAGTCTATACAGCGAATAAATCCAACAGAAACACCAACTTAAAACAAAGCCATATCGGCTCGCATGACTTCAGGAGGCATCAACCCTAAACACCACGAATAAACGTGTTTAGGTTTAATGCCTCCCAAACGTCTTTCCTTCATAGAGGGTTTTGTTTTTTAATTGCGAAGCAACCCTTTACGATTAATTTTGCCAAATTTTATTTTCATAATCTATTTTTAGTCAAACATGAAATTAAAATTCGTAAACTAAACACATTGTATTTATTTACCATTGTATTCGCGGCTTATGCCAAGGGAATTCCCTAGCGCGCGTAGCTTGCGAACTTGCCGATGATTGTTGTTGACGGGCAGTACTGCACCATGCACTCCCAAGCACGGAGCATGGAAGTGTCGTCCTTGGTGCGTGTCCATTTCACGTGCGGGGACAGGTTCCTTGTGATGGCGGTGGTAGATAGGATATTATGCACCCGCACGGCGTGGTGCATCGTGTATGTCCAGTACTGTCATAACTATGCTCTAGGCTGTAGTGGGGCACTCCTTAAGGGGTACAGCCCAATTAGGTTTTGCTATACAAACCTTGTACTGCTGTGTTTCTAGTCATTCTTCATTCTTAATTCTGACATGGTTTCAGAGCAAGTTCCCTAGTGGGAACTTTTTTTTAGGGCCCACCACGATAGATTTTTTTTTTCCTGCCCTGCCCGAAACGCGCTTCGCGCCTGCTTCACCAGCGCCGTCGCGCGCCCTGCCCTACTGCCGCCCGTAGCGGCCCTGCCCTCCTGGCCCGTAGCGGCCCTGCCCTAACGGCCCGTCGCGGCCCTGCCCTTTCGCGACCCGTCGTGGCCCTGACCTAGCCGCCCGTCGCGGCCCTGCCCTATCGCCGCCCCCCCGGCCTACCCAAGCCGCCCGCCACGCCTTGGCCTCGCCGCCCGTCGCGGCCCTGCCTTGCTGCCACTCGTCGCGGCCCTACCCTGCTCCCGCCCCGTCGCGGCCCTGCCCTTACGCCGCCTCGTCGCGGCCCTACCCTGCAGCCGCCCAGTCGCGGCCCTACCCCACAGCCGCCCCGTCGCGGCCCTGCCCTGCAGCTGCCCCGTCGCGGCCCTGCCCTGCAACCGCCCAGTCGCGGCCCTGCCCTGCTGCCGCCCCGTCGCGGCCCTGTTCTACCGCCGCCCCTTCGCGGCCCTGCCCTGCTGCCGCCTCGTAGCGGCCCTGCCCAGCTGCCGCCTTGTACCGGCCCTGCCCTGCCTGCCCGTCGCTGCCCTGCCCTGCACCCGCCCTTCGTAAGCGACCGCCATGCCAAGCACGCCGCTGTGCCTGCCTGCCTGCCGTGCCGCACCGCCCTGCCGAGCCGCGCCGCCCTGCCATGCCGCGACACTCTATCCTGCTGCTACTACCGCCATGGCTAGTCCTACTTTGCTTACCTTCGATGCTGAGGGCCGTGCGGTCGATTTTGAGGTTTGGGTAGATGACTTGCAGCTCTATCTTCAGTGCGACTCCAGGGACGGAGTCTCGCTGTTCGATCACACGTCCGGTGTCTCTGTTGCACCTGCTGCCGACGCTGACAGTACGGTTCGCTCGCAGTGGACTACTCGTGACGCTGTTGCTCGCCTTGCTGTTCGTAGTCACCTGCCGTCTGCTGAGCGCGCGCACTTTGGCCAGTACAAGACTGCTAAGTCTCTGTATGATGCTGTTGTCGCACGCTACTCCTCCCCTGCCTCTGCTGCCCTCAGCCGCCTCATGCTACCGTACTTGTTCCCTGACCTAGCCACGTTTGCCACAATCGCTGACCTCATCACTCACCTCCGCACTAGTCACACCCGCTACAGTGCTGCGCTTCCCTCCGAGTTTCGCGCCAAGAATCCCCCACCCCATGTACATCACCCTCTTCTACCTAGTCACCCATCTCCCTGACTCTCTCCGCTCAGTCAGGGACCACTTTCTCTCCCTTTGCCCCACTGAGCTCACCGTCGACCTGCTCGAGGAGCGCCTCCTTGCAGCTGAGACTAGCATAGTCGCTGTAGGAGCTTCTCGCGGCGACCCTCGCACCCCTTTCTTTGAGGGGTGCTCCCCCGTCCCCCTTTTGCCCTCTGTTGCTTCTGCTGCTGCTGTCGACCTCGTTGGCACCAAGGCGGTCGGGGCTGCGTCTGCTCCTAGTGGGAGGCGCCGCAGCGGCAAGGGCAGGGGGTGAAAGGGTGGTGGAGGGGTAGGCGTCGGTGGCGGCGGTGGAGGTGGAGGCGGCGGCGGCAGCGGCAGTGGGGGTGGTGGCGGTGGTGGTGCTGGTCGGGGTGGAGCCGCGCAGCGTGGAGGCTTTGGCGGTTGCCAGCGCCAGCAGTAGCCGCGTTCCCGTGAGGCCCCGTTGCCCCAGCAGCTTCGTGAGTGGTACGCTGGGCATGGGTGGTCTGGGGGTGCTGGTCCTTGCGCTTACGTTCTCCGCACCGGTGACCGCCGTGGGGAGACGTGTGGGCTGCCGCACGCTACGCAGCGCTGACCAGCGCTGACATGTTTCGGTCGCCTGACCAGCGCCTGGCGCGCACAGTTTCCTGACTTTACTGAGCTTCCTCGCTGGGCTGATCTTCTTAAGTCAGGTGTTGCTATCTTTGATCTTGATTATGATGCTATCCTTGCTGCCATGTATGCTGTGACTATTAGTGCTGAGGGTGATTGTTACCTGTGTGTGCCGCCTGACCCAGGTATAGTGGCTGCTGCTCTAGGTGCTAGTGAGTCTACTGCTACAGGTACTGGTCAGCCTGCTGCTCCAGGTGCTGGTGAGTCTGCTCTCTCAGGTACTGCGCCTGCTGAGGCCTTGCACACTTTCACTCTTGACTCCGGTGCTTCCCGCTCTTTCTTTCGCGACTACACCACACTCACGTTGCTCAGTCGGCCGGTTGCTGTCTCCCCGGCGGACCCCTCTGGGGGCCCAGTCCTTACACACTCCTCTACGGTTCTGCCGTGTCCGGCGGTCTCGTCTGGCTCACTATCGGGTCTCCACCTCCCCTCGTTCTCTACGAACTTGGTGAGTGGAGCTGACCTCCAGGATGTGTGGGTTGACCAGTTCACTCCTGGAGGTCAGCGGGTGGCCCACTGTACGTGTACTCGGACGGGCCACCACCTCGCCACGTTTACCCGTCAGCTTGGGTCGAGCCTGTACACCCTGACTACTGCGTCCCCTCCAGTTACTGCGTCTGGTCAGGTAGTCGCGTCTGGTCAGGTGTTTGCTGCCGCGTCCAGGTCTGGTCCAGAGTCTGCCCCCTGCTCGTGTCGTCTCCTGTCACACTAGACTCTCCTTTGGCACCACTGCCTTGGTCACCCCTCCCTGCCTCGTCTTCGAGGTATGGCCTCCCGTGTCCTTGTCACTGGTCTCCCCCGGTCTCTCCCTCCCCTCCCACCGGGGCTTGCCCCTACCTGCGTTCCTTACGTCGAGGGACGGTAGCGCGCCGCTCCTCACTCCTCCGAGTTCCCTCCAACGAAGGCTCCTTTGCAGACTCTCCACATGGACGTATGGGGCCCAGCCCGCGTCCGTGGACAGGGTCATGAGCATTACTTTCTGCTGGTCGTTGACGACTACTCGCGTTACACCACAGTCTTCCCCTTGCACCGCAAGGGTGAGGTCACTAAGGTGCTGATCGACTGGATCCGGGCTGCCCGTCGCTAGCTCAGCGAGAGTTTCGGCTCGGACCTTCCTGTTCTACGTCTGCACTCTGACAGAGGTGGAGAGTTTTCCTCCAACCTTCTGCAGGCCTTCTGTCGTGCGGAGGGCATCCGCCAGACGTTCACGCTTCCGGCCTCCCTACAGCAAAATGGGATTGCTGAGCGCCGCATTGGTATGGTCATGGACGTCGCTCATACGTCCATGATCCATGCGGCTGCTCCCCATTTTCTGTGGCCGTTCGCGGTTCAGTACGCTACGCATCAGCTCAAACTCCAACCCCGTGTCTCAGTTCCGGAGACCACACCTGCTCTGCGGTGGACGGGGAAGGTTGGCGATGCGTCTGTGTTCCGTGTCTGGAGATCTCGAGCTTTTGTCCGCGATTCTTCCGCGGACAAGCTGTCCTCCCATGCTATTCCCTGCGTCTTCCTTGGCTTCCCCCCTGACGCGCCTGGCTGGCAGTTTTACCACCCCACCTCGCGCCGTGTTCTGTCCTCTCAGGACGTCACGTTTGACAAGTCGGT